AGGAAAATATAATTTAATAGAACTGACTCCTTTTTCTGGTAAATGCAAGCAAAAGGGTGAATATAAAAATTAACATGAAAGTAATCATGAATTAACATAGGTAATTAAATTTAAAATCATTTTTAAAAAAAATCAGATATTTTAAAAAAAGATCCACGATCCTCATTGTTATGAATTTTTTTTGCTTAAAACTTTAAAAAAATTGTAGCCTAGGAGGCCAAAGGACTCATTGACAGAAATAACTTTTAAGGTAAAAATAAAAATCTGAAAGTTTCTGATACTTTCTGATTTTCAACATTTCAATTGCTATAATTGGGACAACGCAAGGACTAGAGAAGAAAATTAAGTAAAGGATTAACTTAGCATATAAAATTATTTTAATAATAAATTAAGTTTATTAATAAATTAAGTTTATAAATTAATTATAAAATATGCAAAATATGGTTAATAAGATATAAGTTCTAATTTAACAATAAAAACTAAGAATTATAAAAATTAAAAGCAAAAAGTGACATAAATTGTGATTCTTATTTAAGAAATTTAGTAATTTTCATTGGCACCCATGTAAATTGTAAACAGCTACCTTTTTAAGAATAATAACTTGTAAGTGTAACGTTATCTAGTTATTTACACTTTTGTTTATTTTATTTACCATGATAAGTGGTTCCAATATGGTTCTATTTAGGCGAATACACTGTCCTTTGTAAGAGTCCTACCTTTTTTATACGTGATTTCTTTGTTCCAGCTTTTAGAATTTTTGAAAGTGTCCAACTTATTATTAAAATAATACCTAGCAGTTATGCCCTTTTTGTACAGTTAGATAGTGAAGCATTGTTTTATATTGTAACAAGATATAAAACTATATACCAGTGGCGTCGCTGGGGAGGAACGCAGGGGCTCGAGTCCCCTGAAAAATTTGAATAGGCTCCTGAAGCAAAAAAAAATTTTTTTTAATGGAATATTAACCCCTTGAACTAAAAATATATTTTTTGATTGCCCCTTTTAAATTCTATTAAGTAAAATATAGATTTAATTTTATTATTTAAAAATTAATAAGACTATCTAAATATTTATTAAATGAATACTATTTTAAATATAAGAATAAATTAATTAATACATATAAATTATATTTTCACTATGTCAGCTAGCAATCAAATTTTGTGTTAAAAATAGAATATCAATATCACTCACTAAATATTAATTTAGCATTAACAGTTGAAGCTTAATTGACTATTATTATTTAAATTATTTATAACCCTAATTAATAAATATAATCACTTATTATTTGAAAACTAAAAAATTTAATATTGTAATTAGCAGAGTTCAAAATCACTAATCAACTGTATATTTATTTTTAAATTTTATTATCACACCTATTCCTAAAAATATTTTCAAGTTCCAAATAAGTATAATGAGAAGTAAGTAGACATCTATAATAATAATCCTCAAAAAACGTCAATCAAATTTAGCCAATAGTGTAATTTTAAAATATATTTGTCCAATAAAAATGATTATAACGAAATCGGTCCAATAGGAATCACCTTACACACGAAACATTCATACACTACCATTTCATTCACTTCACATAGCAAAGCAATGGTATCCAGATGGCAAGTAAATTTTTAATATTAATAAATAATTTTTAAATATTTTAGAGTTAGAAAATCAAACATTTTTTATTCCTCCTCCTAAATCTATGTATAAAAATTTCAGTTCAGAAGAACAACAATGTGCATTGAATGCACTGAATAAATGCCTAATATTATACATATTCCTGAATATTTAGGGATCAGTAGAACTTTAAACGCATCAAATAATTTTTTCAATAAACAGTTGGAAAACTAATAATAACTTTTATTTTGAAAGATAATTTTTCCATAAAATATATATAAATTATTATATTTAGTTTAATAAAATTATAATAGAAATGAAATAGGAATAGGAATAGGAATATTTTTATTAATAACTATAGGGTTGATCTAGCTATTATTCAATAATAAATAACAAATAATAGTAACATAATGTACAGCATTAGACATAGGGATAGCAATTTCATTAAGGTATGATGCAGTTAATTTTATATACATATATAAAATAATAGTGTTCCCAGATGTCAATTTTTAGATTCCTAAAATAAAAAACTATTTTATATTCTGTGTCCAAAATGTTTTAAAAAAATCCTTAAAATTTTTACAAATTAATAACGACATTTTGGATACATTTAAGTTTTAAAAAAATAAAAATATTCAAAATGTTTGATATGATTCAATTATTAGTTATTGATTAAAAGATATGTAAACATTTAATTGTATTTATTATTATATATTACCTTTCAGTTATTAAACTTTGTATGAACTTATTATTTGATAATGGTTATATTTACATTTTATTTATATACTTAATAAATAAATATATGCTGTAAATAATTGTATCAATATTTAATAAATAGTTGGAAAACTAATAATAACTTTTATTTTGAAAGATAATTTTTCCATAAAATATATAAAAATTATTATATTTGAGTTTAATAAAGTTATAATAGAAACGATGTAGGAATAGGAATATTTTTTAATAATAACTATAGGGTTGATCTAGCTATTATTCAATAATAAATAACAAATAATAGTAACATAATGTACAGCGAGGGATAGCAATTTCATTAAGGTATGATGCAGTTAATATACATATATAAAATAATTCTGTTCCCAGATGTCAATTTTTAGATTCCTAAAATAAAAAACTATTTTATATGTTTGCCTTATAATATTTTACATTTGTCTGTGTCAATTTTAAAATTGACTCAGAATATTTGGTAATATCATCAATATTTTCTTTTAACCATATATATTGTTTGACATATAGTAGATCCTTATTTTCCAGCACCTTTTAATGTTACGACCTTTAATATGTATTCATGAATTTCATACAATGATAGGTAAATCAAATATTTCCCCTTCATTTGATGATAATTTTGAAAAATTTTCCCAATTAATATATACATATATTAGACAGATTGAATTCTTATAAACCCCCTAACTATTTTTCAGGATCCAAGGAAAAAATTAATTATTCTGAGTTTTCCTGGGCATGGTTAATATTTTTCACAATTAATTTGGACTTGGACATAGCTTGCTAAACATCTTTCAAAAATTTTTTTAATTTTAAATATTGGCTAGATATTGGCCTGACAGGAGCTCTGGTGGATAATGTTGGTATTTGGGATGCTAATAAGTAACATTGTTTCCGTGTAATCTTAACTATTGGATGAAAATAAGATAGAAATTTTTATTATTCATCCATCATTGAGCAAAGAAGAAAATCCTGATTTCCTGTCATTCTTGACGGGTTATCATCTAGTATATTTTATAATCCTCTATTATATACATATACAGTTGTTATAAAATATTAGATAAAATACCGTTTTTATAGACTTATTTGACAGTTATAATATATTACAGCTAATATTATAATGAATTTTTCTAATAAATGTTTTGATTATAAATATAGTAACAATTTGCATTTAGGTATTTAACGCCATCTATTTATTTATAAATAATTATAAAAATTAAACATTTTGTTATTCATCCTACAATAGAAGTAATAAATTTGATATCTTTTCTTCAAGCTATTTTTTTCTTTTTCGAAAAACAATTTTGAGCTAAATTTTTAATACAAGTATATTTTTGTATTACAAACTACTATTATTTTAAGATATAATATACCAACTGGAGGTGGTGCGACAATATATAAAATCTTAATTGTTTCATCATATCATTCTGGTCCTTATTTTATAGTTAGAAAATATTTCATTTCTAATATGGCTTCCTTTCCTTGTAAATAACTTAAGGTTTCAATATATTTATATAATTTCTTCCAAAGATTTATAGTGTTTTTGTTTTATCAAATTATCTAACATAATAAATTCTGATATTAATTTACACCGTGAGTGTCATGGCTATTACTGCAAATTAACCATTATCTATTATTTATATTGCTATGTAATTTATGATTATTCCTACAGCTGCTGAGAGCATATGATAGCATATTTTAGATAAACAATAATGGTCAATGTGTACTCGTTTATATATCATTTAAAATGGAAGATAATCTTTTAGAAAAAGTCACAATAATTTTCTCGATTACTTATCTAGCTTTCATCATGTCATCTAAAAGGAAACCACCATATAGTTTTATGATTTGGATTGGTCGTTTACACTCTCTTCTTCAAAAATTGTTGATTTGGTTTAAACCTATAAATTTTTCCTTATTAGTCCATTCTATAAAACATTGTCTAAAATGGTAACAGAGAGTTATATTAGTTTGATAACCTTTTTTCAATTTTAGTTTGCTAAGAATGATATTATTGCATTATGTGGTTTTAAAAACTATTATCAATTGATTCATATGTATGAATTAATAAATCTTACTTGTAATTCTTTAGACGCAAATTTATTTTATATCAGCAATGAAAATATTTTATAAAGTAATTAGATTTTGTATTAAAAAAATATTATTTTTAGAAATGTCTTGTATTGTTTTAATTATTTATAAGCCAGTTTATTTTGTATGCATAATATAATAAATGACAAAATACGAAATTCAGAATAATTGTCAGTGTTGACAAATTTAAAAAAAGTGTAATATATTAATATAAAACCCGGCCGAAGGCCGGGCAAAAGCGTACCGAAGGCCCAAAAATTTAGGGTATGGGGGAGCGTCTTTTTTAGTTGAGCCCCCTTAGATTGTAAAGGCTAGCGATGCTCCTGATTCATACGTTTTTCTTTGAATAAGCCGCAGGCCAATTACACTGTTTGCGTTTGCCTGGGTGAGAATCAGCGTTTTAATTGTGATGTTTATTTGTTGTGGCAAGAGGAGCCTATGATTAAGAACATAATTTGATATAATATTTTCAGACTTATTTATATTTTTAATTATTTATCTCAATCACAATTGACATATACCGTGAAATAAAAATATGACAGAGGGTCAATCTTTCGATTTTTATATTCCAGCAGATTTATAAATTCCAGATGATTTTAGATTTAAAGGATTACATAGATAGAGTAATGTACTCCTTTAAATATTATATATTTCTTTTTTAGTTGATATTGACCCATGGATCCAAATTAATATTTAACGAGGAAGCTAAGCTATATTTTGAATCACTTTTATTGCAAATTTTGAAAAAAATCTCTGTATTTAAACCACATTCTTTACATGTAAGTTTATGATTAAATTATATAAAATAAAATTGCATTATAGGATGTTCAAAACATCTTAAAAAACTATTTCCCAAAGCCTATTGCTAATGTATGTATAAATGAATATCAAAATTATTTTGATAAAAATATAAAGAAACCTCAACCTATATTCAATTCTTTTAAATTACCTAATATTTTTCAAAAAGTATATTAATTAAAGAAGCGTATATATTTTACAAATTGCTAGGCACTTTTACCATATAAATTGCATATAAATGTGGCTATTCTTATATCTTATATTATAGAGAAGTTATCATTAGAAATTTTAAAGGTAAATTAATTTATATTCATGCCAATTTTTTTTTATTTTACAGTATTTATGTAAATATGCTTCCTTATTGAATCAATATAATGTTGATAAAAAAGATATTTATCTTGTGCTTAATGCTCGAAAAGTATTTATAATTTAATTGGTGTGGCCTTAAATTATTATTAGGATTTAGAAGAGCTCTTCTTAATATCTAGTGATTCAATAATTCAGGATAATATAAAAGAATATAACACAAAAATATATGATTCCATTGATATCATAAGATATAACTATAATAGTTGGCCTTACTATAACAAAAAACGGAATAATATTGGGATGTATTTAGAAAATATAATAGAATACATTATTAGAGAGGAGGCTATCTATCTCAAAGATTTGAAGTATATTGATCGATTAATTAAGTACCCTCTAAGGACTTATTACTCCAATAAACCAAATGAAGTTATTTGTTAGAATATATTACATTTAAAAATGTTGTATTTGTAATTTAAATTATAGATTTTAAATGAAATGTAATAGCTACACTAATCACTTTCTATTCAATTTTAACTATCTATTTTTCATCAATAATGCTTTTCAAGTAACTTGAATTTTAGCTTAAATAAACTTTGATATAGATAGCAAACTAAAAATTATAAAAATATCTTGTAAAACATATTTAATAGTAGGAAAATTATATGAAGTGTTAAATATATATAAATATAATAAAAAATACCTTTAGAATAAATTCTGTGCTAAAACTAACTGGCTTGTAAATTTGGATATATTAGATGATATATATTACTTATCTGTAAAATTAATATGGGGCCTAGAAGATTGCAAGCAGTTATTAGAAATTCAACTAAATTCTAATGAAATGGTAAACCTTTTTGAAGATCTTGTATTGGTTCAAGAATTTAATGTGTACCTCAAATATATAACTGGAGTTTTGCAATATATTTGCTCAAACCATGATGTGTTTAAAATATGTGACAGTGATTGTGATAATATGAATTGCCTCACAAATAACTTTGATTCAGATTTTTCAAAATATTTACAAGTTTACTTATGATAATTGTTTGTATAATATAAATGGTAAATTGCATATATATCAGATTTTAACAATTTTTTTCTACTTCTATTTTAGACCTCTTTTTTTTTAATTGAAAAGTTTTTTCCCCCAGCTATTTGGTTTTGCAAAGATTTAACGTCATTGATATCTGCCTCATTTTTATTTTTTTCATTTTTAGTAATAAAGATTGGTTGGGCTTGATAAATAGGTCTTTTTGATGAATCACATTTATACACTGACCTTTTTCAGAAACAGTTATTTTTTTCTAGAAAAAAAGAGTACGATAGTGTTCAAAGTCACCATATGTTTGAAAAAGGAAATTATGTGATTTTTTAAAAAAGGCTATATATATTATGTCAGATATTTTAGCAGAAACTTAATTTTATAATATTATAAAAACATCGTACATTTGGTTGCCATTTACAAAGGAACATCATTTTAATAAGTTAATGTTTATAATGATTTTAACATTAAATATATTATATACTTATGAATTTTTTTTATATTTAAATCACATAAATATAAATTGCATGATATAACATTATTCAAAATAATATAATATAAAAATAATTAATTATTTTTTAAAAATTCATATTTTAATAAATGTAGAAAATTAAATATATATATTAAACAAAAAGAATTTCCGCAAGATGGAGTATTTTTAAAAAATTTGATTTGTATATTTTTTTATATAACAAAAATATATTTAAAAAAAAAAAATTTACAACAGTATATGAATATGTATTTTATAATATAAAATGGCATAATTTTAAAATTCATGTAAAAGTTTTTTGTTCAGCAAAGATGATTATTTTTTAAATTATTTAGGTTTATAATTAATAATAAAAAGTAAGTGGACCATGCAGTTAAAAAAGAATTTTTTAAACAGCATATGTTATCAGCAATTAGGACCCCTTATTAATTTGCAAATATTAATTAAACTCATGGTTTCTAGATATATAAATATTATTTCATCATTTTGAGAAAAAAGAAAGCTTAATTTAAAAATAAATATGATAAATAAATTAAAATATGATAGTTTTAGGCAAATAAATTTTTTTTCATTATACAAAACATAATTTCCTGTAATTTTTATGTTTTCATGAATTATATGGGGTTATTTTTAATTCTTCCTTCATTTTGTAATTTATCATTATCTATTCTTCCAAAAAAATAAATAAAAAACTTTTATATGAATCTCAAAATTTAATCATATATATTCATATTCTCTCGTAAATGAAACCGCAATTTTTGTTATACAAAAAATATATAAATTAAAAATTTTTAAATGCCCCATCTTTCGGAAATATTCTTGTTACTTTATTTTCTTAATGTATATTATTATAAAAATTGTTTCATATATTTAATTAATTTTTCTTATTATTAGTATATATGAACTACTGTATATAGTTATAATTTGATAATATTTTATTTATTATATGTTATCTTAGTTTAATCTTTAAATATCCATAATATATTTTGTTAATTCACATGTAACGCACATATATCATCACTAGTAAAATATTAGTATTAAAATAAAAAAACTAACACAAAATTGAAATACGTGATACGTGATATATAGCGCTTTTGCCCTCTAACGTTGAAGATTCAACAGAGCTACGCTAGGTTTTCCTCATTTCCATCTAATTGGAACAATTTAATTTGGGTATAAAAATAAAAATATGAGGAGCCCTCCACACGTTTGTCGGCAAGCCGCACGTACTTGTAGGCACAACATTTCGAAAAATGTTGCTTAAACCTCTATAGGCTTTAATTTAGAAGGAGTGGGACAAAGAAAAAGCCTATACCCGAGAACTACAGTATAATTTAATTACTTTAAAGGTGGAAGCTTAATTTCTTTAATGTAAGTTATATCTGTAAATAAATATGATTAAAATAAAATAATATTTACCACCGGATGAACCGAACCCATAAATCTAAAATTGAAATAATAATTATAATTATATTTGATAAAATATGAATGAATGATTTATAATTTTTCGTTTTTCTCTTATACTAATCGTCACTACATATATTCCAATACGTGACAATTATATTGATTTGAAAAATATATCTTTTACAATTTATATGCTATTAATATAAAAATAATTTCAGAAATTCATGAAATATTCAATCTTAAATTAAACATAAACTTTAAAAAAAAGGTTGCTCTTTTGCAAATGGCGATTATTTTTAAAGACGTATTTTTTAATCGTTAAGCAGTTTATACTAATATAAATCTATGGATTAAAAAGGAAGCAGAAAAAAAATGAATATAGGTTAGAATGAACTAATATAAAAACAGCGTCTACATGACAGGATTTTCACTGGATGCAAACCCCCTTCAAAAACCTATGCTTACTCCCCTACCTATTTTTAATTCCATTTTTTTAATTATAATGATACTCCATCAGAAAATTTGAAAAGAATAACTTAAATTATTTTATCTCTACTACCAACTACCAAAAAATATAAAGGAGTTATTTTTAAATAATAAATTCAATTAAAACCTCCATCATTTACAATGTATTTATTATTATAGCATTATGTTATTGCTGAAAATATCTAAACCTTTTAAATTACATTTGTAAGTATAGCAAAAAGTTTTATTTGGAAAATAATGTCTATGATTGTTTGCAATATATAGATTTGGTTGATGAATTGTATTATAATAGGTCTAAAATAAAAGTATTTATTTATACAGCAATAAATTTTGTCCTATTTGATCTCAAAATTTAATAGATAACCCCCCAAAAATGTATCCTACCCCCATCGTCTACCCCCCTCAAAAAAATAGGATACAAACTGCTATTCCTCCCCCCCTTATGTAGCCGCTGTATAAATAAATGGGAAAAAAATTATGAAATATTTCTTCAATTTATTTTTACATTTTTATAAAATAAAAAATGAATAAATACTATTATTTCTGCAGTTGATACACCCACAAATCAAAGATATTTATTTGTACGTATTGCCGCGATTGTTATATATCCCAATTCTGCACTTCTTTTTCTATCACCATATTATACAAGTATTGAATTTTATTTATTTTTAAAATTTAGTCTTAAATGACCTCTTCTTTCACTCGTGATATATATATATACAACAGATAGATAATGATGATACGCAAGTCCAACTTGTCTAACACCTATTTGTAGCAAACGCGTTTTGTTCAAGCGGTGCGGTATTTAACGCTACCGAAATCACAGCTGATTCTTTAAACCGATAATATAACATATTTTTGTCGAAATTTTATCATGGCGTTTTCGTCGTTTCGCTTTATATTTATAAATTATTCCTATTGGCTTGATCCAAAACGCGCTAACTATAAATGTGGCCTAAATTTTAGTAATACTTATCATGAGAAATTAGTAAAATATTTATTTGCACATATTATAAGTACAAATAAAATGATTGATTGTATTAGACAAGTTGCAGATTTTTTTTTAAGAAAACCTTTTTTAAATTATTACAATATAACTCATGTAAAATGACATAAAAATGTATTCCCATACCAATTTGAAAATGCATTTGGTATGGAAGATTAAGCAATTTTTGTGAACATTTTTTGTCATTAAATGACGTTTTTTGTCATTAAATGACGTGTAAACTAATTTTATTTTTCCCGTCTCAGTCACAATGAGGCGATTCCGTGATACTTTAATATTTATCATGACAGATACGCCAACGATATCAGACTGAATTATTGATGTTGTTTTTATGTTTTAATTTTCTCTCTTTGCTATATCTAAAAAAAATGATAATAGGAATTGATAAAATTTTACGGATCGCGAAAGTTATTTTACCCATCTCCTAGTACTAGTATCAACGAAGAATTGATTAAACTGGAAAACGCCCTCACGGCTTTAGACTTATTGAAAGCGGATATTTTATGTCAATGTCCTCCTTGGTTACAAGGTCAGCTTAACAGGTATAATAGAATGAAAACCCTTATATATCATTATAATTTAAAATTAAATAATAAAATTAGAGGGAATATGAATGATCCTTTTAATTTTTTTTTAATATAAAACTCAGCTGAATTTAAAAGAAATGAAGAAATAGTAAAATAAATAATTTACTTGCTTTATGAAAATATCTTTTTAAGACATGTTTTTATGTATGAATGAAGCATGTTTTTGTAGGAAATTATATTGTTTAAGCATGTGCTCCCAGCTCAATTATAAAATTTTCAAGAATTCAACTAAGTTTAAACTTACCCCCACCCCTTCCCCATCTTATTTGAAAGGTCGAAATTCTTAATTGTTTGATTAGTATTTATATCGTTAGGTATATTTTCTGCTATCACTCTTATTTTGACTAAGATGGAGATCGGGGTCTCGGAGAGAAACCAGCAGATGCGGAAGGATATTTAACTAGTCACTTTTTCGGGTTCTCAGTATTCTTGTATGGGCACCCGACAATACATTAGGATCAAATATCATATATGATATAATCATTGATGTTGAAATTTTTTTTCTGTATAATAAATTCGAAGATGTTCCCGGCCTGGCAAAGAGGACTCTGACAATAACAAGACCGATTGCATCGAGGGTTGGCCCGATAAGCCCCATATCAGGGCTCTCGTAAACCTCAACACCGGAATTGTAGCCTCGAATAACGAATTCTCGTCCAATTCGACTTCCGGCGCCAACAAATTATCCAAACCATTGTCCGCGGAACTCCTTTTGATGGGTTAATCATATAATTATTAATAAATAAAAATTCGTCATATACTATCGCATGTCGGTGTTGTTAAACGAATCGATTCGAGGCGATTTTTAAAAACGGCTAACTCAATATTTTAACAAAAAAATATTGCCTGAGCCTCGAGATTTCGTTAATAAATGTCCATATCTATGTGCTTTCTATGACCAATATCTTCAGGCTTACATAATATTTTTCTGATTAAAATATTGAGTTAGCGATTATTAAAAATTGGCTCAAATAACAACACTATCTCCTATTTGTAAAGTTTGTTTCTCAATATCCTAGTATTTTTTAAGCTTACCCTGTATTCACAGTATTTTTTGTATTCTTCGCCGCGAATTTTTGCTAACTGTGAATGAGGAATTACCCTGCCACGCGCTAACTATGAATGAGAGGCAGCGTACCACACTTTTCATTTTATAAGTTATAATTCTAGATTGTAAAATAGTGAACATTCAATGACCCTAAACTTTTATCGAAAAATATTAATGACTTTCCTCTTAGTAACATTAACTGACATTTTGTTTTAGTCATATATTATTCTTATTTTTTTTTCCAATTTAAATGATATTTTAAAATGACACACGTATGTTATGTGACTAAAAAAGTACCATATATATGATTTATGAAATGTGTAATATATTCTCAATCAATTTTGAGAATATATGCGAAATAAATTACCATATGGTATAAACATTTGTTGTAGGCTAGGGTTAGCCTATATGAGATTACTTGGGTTTGCACTACGCGAACCGTCATTTTAATAATGAAAATGGTGGTAGTTATGCACTCATTTATTTTTAGTCACATGTCAAATCTTTTACGGGTGTAAAAGTACTTCTGAACAATTTTTAGGTTGACGCTGAAATAAAAGGCAATTATCCGAATTTGATTGATAACATCACGCGAAAGATTTTATTAAATAGAAATATTTCTTTTTTTTTAAATTTTTCTCGCAACATTTTTTTTTAACAGAAGGACCTCTCCTCAAAGTTACCTCACCGGATACTAACACTAATCTAGAAGAACGTTATTGTTTTTTATGGGAAAATGGTACATTTATAGCTTGCAAATCTCCCACCTTCTTTAATTCCTCTACCATGAGGCGAACTTCCTTGGAAACCTTGCTTTCTACCCTGTTAGTAGAGCCTCACGTTCACACTGCCTCGCCATTTCATTCGCTGGGCATCGCGAAAAATTCCGAATCGAAAGAAGGCAAAGAGTTCAGGGATAATGGGGAGGTTTTGACTGATTGTTACAAACCTGATTTTAAGATCTCCGAAGGGTTCGCCATCAAGAACTGCTCTGTTTACCCCGTGGAAGGTTTTTTTTTAAAAAATTTTTTAAAGCACTATAATGAATGTGTTAAATTATAATGATAATGTATTTCAGAAGAAGGAATGAACGAAAAAATAGATTTTTTTTATGCTACCGTTCAGATAATATTGTCATTAAAGTTAAAGGGCAAGCTTACAAAATAAATTATTTTCCTTTGTTATTTTTCCGCCACCACGCAAGGTTAGGCAGTGTCGCGGATACTTGTATCTTAGATATAAAATATAAGATATCTTTGTATTTTGTATTTAGAATATAAATTGAGTGGTAAGACGACTAGTTCTTTAAAAAAACAAATTAATTCCCGAAATTTATAATGAAAGAAAGAAATTAATTTTTTTTTGAAAAAAAGATGACCCATGTACTTTTCGAATAGTTCCGAATAATAATGATAATTTTATAACCTCATTTTGCTCCGAGAAATCATCAGAAACCTACGATTGGCTAAGTTTTTTGATCAAAATTAGTACTCAAAAGTAAAAAAAAATATATATTCACACAAAACGAGTTAATGAATGAAAGAACGATTGTTTTCAGAGTTGTTAACGCTCCTTTTTAAAAGTAGCTAGCTCCCGCTTTCGCTCCTACCTTCTCAAAAGGAGCTAGATCCCGCTCCCGCTACTACATTTTTAAAAGGAGCTAGCTCCCGCTTCAAGTAATGGAGTGCCACTCCTAACCGCTCCTTTGATTTTCAGTTTTTAGAAGGTACACGAAACAAAATAATATTTTTTTATCAAAAAGTTTAATTTATATTAAATGATCTATCAAAATATTTATAATCTTTTATTAGTCTTTAAAAGTAATAAATTTTCTAAATTAGAATCTAACAAACATCCACGCCTCTCCCTAAGACCTGTTTTGCAATACTAAATAAGCGCTCCATAGAAGCACTAGAGGGAAGCGGGGTATTGTATTTTATAAAGATATCTTTTAATTCAGGTATAAAAAAGGAGGTTGAACAAGTAATGAGAAAATTAAAATAAATATTAAAATATATTTAAAAAAGCATCATATCTAACAACCCAAGCTCATCTATAATGAATTGCCCAAAAATAATTATAACCATTTTAAAAAATATTATTCCAAAATAAATAAAATATAGTTACCATTTCGTAAAGAAAGATTTTTTACTTTTAGATGCTTTTTTAGATTGGATCTGCTCATTTTTGAAAATGAAATACTTTTACTAAAACGCAAAAGGTATTGCCCTTAAATTTGTTTGATCATTTAGATCAACATCTTTTAAAAGTTTAAAATATTTTTTGTATAATGGAAATGGAAATTCGATTACTTCTTCTATAATCTCTAAATCCATAATATCGAAAAAAAACTTGATATTTAATATTTAAAGGATTAGAAGAAAAACCAATATAAAACTCTGCTCAACATTTAATAATGGATAAAATAAAATAAAAATTCATTTTTATCGAATTTTAATTAACAAATATTATTAATATTTAAAAAATAATTTAATTTATACCATAAATTTAAAGGAGCGGTGGAACTGCGCTCCTCCACTCCAGCCCTAAAAGGAGCTAGCTCCCGCTCCTGCTCCTCATTTTTAAAAAGGAGAGGCGCTCCAGGCGTTTTTGAGCTCCTTAACAAATCAGATTGTATTAGATAAAAAATAAAATTAGATAAGATAAAAATATAATAAAATTTATATTAGATAAGATAGGAAGGATGGATGGAGGGATGGATAGATAGATTAAATTAGATAAGATAGATAGATAGATAGATAGATAGATAGATAGATAGATAGATAGATAGATAGATAGATAGATAGATAGATAGATAGATATACGTTATTTTTATAAACGATTAAGCTTATAGAGGGAGGAAAATATTAATTAAATAAAGAAGTGACGCAACGAATATTCAATGAATTAAAAAATATATATATCATAAAATTTTAATGTAATAATTCATTTTCCCTTTTTTATAGCTCCTTGAACAAGCAGATCTCAAGTATGATTGAAGCTGATGAATCGACTCAGCCTTACTCGATATTGGTACATTTAAAAGATAAATATAGGTATAAATAAGTCTTCTATTCTTTTTTTGTTGTATCGTTATAATTTTGAAAAGAAAAACTTTAATTTAAATTATAATAAATATTTTGGCAGTTTATTATTTATTATTTTTAAATACGTGTAAGCTTATAGAAAGGAAGGAAGGAAGGAAGGAAGGAAGGAAGGAAGGAAGGAAGGAAGGAAGGAAGGAAGGAAGGAAGGAAGGAAGGAAAAGAAAGGACACAATTACGAATCATGGTTATTTATAACCACCTATAGCATTTTAATTCATATTGGAAAGATGAGTATAAAAAATCACGAATGTGCGGGCATAATTTGTTAAATTATTTATCGAAATTATTATGATCCATAATTATCACAGTCTCTTTTAAAAATTTTTTTTTAAAGTATGATATAAGTGTGATCCCAGATTTATCAAATGATACTTAAATTTTTTTTTGTTTTAAAACGTTAATAAAATTACAATGATTTATTTAAATAAAATCAAAATATTGATAAAAATCGATTTCTTTAGATATTGCCAACAAGACACTCCACAAAATATAGTTTTTGATTGCAAGTACGATAAAGAAATTCCTTTAGTAAAAGGTTTTTTTTGTTTTTTCTTTCTTAGAAAATCTTTTGTATAAGTAATAAATGAAAAGAGAAGTGTAAAATAAAAAATTGTTTGAAAAATTAAATTAGGAGGCACACCTTGGCTTTTTTAAATTCTTGATGACTTTTAATTATCAATATTATTTAACACAAAGCTGGCACTCTGGACAAGTTGATAGAAAGATTGACCTTTCCCAAATACTCGGATCCCTTTTATTTATCTATATTCCTCGTGGTCTACAGGACTTTCGTGCATCCTACCCAACTTTTTGACGCCTTAATGGATCGGTAACTTTATGATCTAAACAAAAAGAATATGTATTTTATTATAAAGGAAAGATTTATACTCTGTTTAAAGGGAGAAGTAAGTGATTAAAGAAAGAAAGAAAGAATTTTTTTTTCTAACATCTTTAGAAGCTTTTAGAATTATTTTTTTTAGTGGAGTTATGGGAAAACATATAGTGTTTAAAGAATTGAATTTCCACATTTTTTTTTCGCGGGCAATTTTTATGTTCGGTTCAATGGCCTGATTTCCCATTTTGTTTACGCTTGATAATATAAAACGTAATTTTTGCAATTATAAATATTTTGATTTTCATTCTTTTTTTGTTCCTTTTCTTTTACAGCATGTAAGTGTTATTATGCAAAATAAAATTGCAAACCCATATACCACTATTTTTTATAGTGATTTACCGGTTTTAAATATCCGATTGGGAAAAATCCGTTATTAGCCGATATCTTATAATACCGATCCGATATGCCATATTTTATCGGATCGGCCTTTGAAAATCGGTGTCTGACACACCTCCTTTTACTTCGTATATATTATCAAGTGTAATCAGAAAGCATTCAATGATCTTCCCATTCATAGATGACAATAATATCGCTTCATTAAGTGACACCATCCAAAAAAATATACTCGTATAAATGTAATTTTATAACTTACCAATACAATTTTTATTTCTTTTTTTTCGTTACTTTTATTAATCAATACTGGGTACTTGGGTATTTATTTAGCTCAATGTTTTTAATGGCTCGATTTTGCCGATTTTAAATTTAAGATTTTTGTCAAAATAATATTACGCAAACCTCAAGATTTCGTTAATAACCAAAACTTTTGTTATCTATACCCAAAATATTCAGGTCCGCTTAATATTTTTTGGCTATAATATATTGGGTCAAAAATCTCTACTTCTTTGAAAAAAATGTCTTCAATGATTTTTGCTCAAATTTATTTTTTGAAGATTTTATTCAAACTCTGGAAAAAAAATATAGAAAAAAAATATAATAATGGCCTATTACCTATCTACTTATTTAATAATGTATTAAGATACAGCTTGTCAATAGGGTTAAAAAATGTTAATTATTAAAAATTATTAAAACTGCCGATATTTTAACAAAAAATTATTTTTAAAAGCTATAACATTCCCGAAATCGATGATCATACTCTGGAAAATATCAAGAAATCTTTCCGTGATCGCCACAATAGCGCGAAATCACTGAATCAACCATCGCTGACGGAAGAAAATTTGGAGATAGCGTGCAAGGAAGCTTTGTTGAAATTTAGGAAAGAATTCGTGGTTTTGGTTCAGTTTAGGTATTCATTTTTAGCACGCCATAATATCACCATTTATTATTATTATTATTATTATAATGTTACGCTATGTGTTGATGACCCCACCTAGACTAATCATAATTTATTTAATTTGCCATTATCTTCTATATTGGCTATCTGCCCCTTTCAATCGATTATATCATAATCTCGCTATCTACTTACTTTTACACATCAATCATGTGAATATATCCAGGTATATTACTAGTTTTTTCAGTTTGTTGGGGCTCATTGGGTGCTCATTAACTGAAAGAAAATTTCTGAAATCTCCAAAATTTTGACGGAACTCCAAGCCCAATAAACCCTATAGAGACACCATTGTTTATACCGCCCCAACTCTTTCTTACATATATATCTCATTTTTATCAAAAATATCATCTTGTTTCTTCCAATATTCCGCACAGACTTCATGAAAAAAAATAATGAAATTTATTTTATCATCAATAAAAAATAAAATCGACCAAAATATTTAGGGTTATAAACGTGTTGAGGCAATGGCTCAATTACCATTATTACGATTTCAAGAGGGATCCCACTTTGACCTCCAAACTTCGGACTTTTTTGGACCATTTACGTGTAAAAAAATCGAAAAGACGATGCGTTCAAATGATGAATAATTTGATTGATAAAAGGGTAATTATATTTATAATATATATATGAATTTAAAAATAAATAGCATACCATATATATATATATATAAGTATTAATAAATAATTTAATGGATATATGGGTAATTATATATCAATATATATATAAAAGGTAACGAAATACATGGTACTGCTAATACAGAATTATAATAAAGAAAGATTTTTTTTTATATATATCATGACTTCAAATATGTTAACTTAATATTGTCGCCCATTTTAATCTATCACCAAAAGAAAAATGGGTACAAATTAAATAGTAACGCACAAATTGAGCATATGCGTTTTGCGATAATTTTTTAATTAAAAAAAACGTAACACATCCCGATGTTTAAATTTGAGGTTGCCTTTTTTTTTATTATAGTCGATTCAAAATTTTAACTAAGTATCTTAAAAAAAAAGAATTTTGTTTTTGAAAATTATATTATCTTCTGCATTTTTCTTTCTTTATAGTGCACACAAATTGAGCGTTTACGTTTTGTCGTAATTTTTTTTATAAAAAAAACGTAACGCATCCCTTGTTTAAATTAAGATTGCCTTTTTTATTGATATTGTCGATTCAAAATTTTAAATAAGTTCTGAATAAAGGATTTATCTTTGAAAATTATATTATCGTCTGCCTTCTTATTTCTTTAATTTCTAAATATTCCTTTTTAGGATATAAGTATATAATTTTTACAAAGCGAAGAATAAAAAAAGTAATGAAAAAGCAAACTTATTTGCGTTTTTTAAAATGGTTGCGAACGCGCACGAGGCCATTTGAAATGCATTATCTGCGCTTGCAAGCAGCTTTTGAAACGCTCAATTTGTGCGCATGAATAATTTCTAAATATTCCATTTTGAAATATAAGTAAGTTAATTTTTTTTTAAACATTATAATATTACAAAAATTAAGAATAAAAAAAGTATTGAAAAAGGCAAACTTTTTTTGCGTATTTTTTTTAAAAAAATGGTTGCTAACGCCAAACGGTAATTTTACCAAATTTGCTCGATCCCAATTTGAAATGCATTATTCGCGATTGCAACGCAGCATCTGATACGCTTAATTTGTGCATACTAATAAATGTGTGCGATGCGAGTTTGTATAGCCGTTAGAAAAAATATTTTGATGAATTAAAATGATACTTTAAAAAAAATTGCCTAAAAATAAAAAGTGAAGGAAATTTTTAAGCGGGTGTCCAATAACTTCTTCTTTTTTTTTATAAAAATTCTAATTGTTTTAAAGCGTTCAGAAGTTTGAAAATTTTAATGAAAATCATGAGTTAATTTGTTTTGGACATTTGTTTTTTTTATATTTAAAAAAGCTTATATATTTTTTTTCTTATAAAATTTTTATAAGTTTTCTAATCGTATTTTTTGATATTTTGAACTTATCTGAAAAGAAAAAAATACATAATTTTGTTCTATTTTTTTTTATGTTTTATTTGTATTAATTTTTCTTTTTTTTTAAAATTAAATTTAAAAAAAATATTTATTGTTTCAAAATTGCAAATATAAATTTTTATACTTTATTATATATTTAAAAAAAAAATTTTTTTTAGCTAGAAAATAAGGACAAAAATATAGAATTCATTTTCAATGTACAACCACCTCAGATCGAATGGTACATAGCTAAATCCAAAGATCAATTTAATATTTTGACGGTTAGCATTTAAAAAATAAAAAAAATTAAAACGGACAGAAAGGAATATGTAAAGAAAGGGAGGTAATGAAAGAAGGTAATCAAAAAAATAGTAAAGAAATCATGTAAAAAAAGTAATATATAAAAGGGTAGCTCAAATAAAAAACGCCGCGTTTTGAAATCTCCATAACTCTAAAACGCGTCACATTTTTTTTAATATATATAATAATATATGTTTACATATACTCTAAATTTTTTTTTTATAACTTAACCCGTTTGTTAGATAATCGAGAAATAATTCAAGATCCTCAATTATCATTTAAAAATAGGCTATATGGGTTTCCGTCATGTATGACTCAATGATGTGTATTATATATATACTACTAGATTGGCGATTCATTAATTGAATATGTCCATATGGAGAGATATGGTTTGCACGCTCACTAATTATCATAATATGAATGCACATTAATACCATTTAAATGACGTGCAAACCACAAAAATGGCGCTACAGCTGACTCCTATGTATGGACACCTTTTGATGCATTTTATGTATGAATCACTAATCTAGTAGTATTTATATGTACCTTATTGGTTTGACTATAGCCATAATCGTAAGATATAACGCAAAACACGCATACCTTGAGATCTTTATAATACAATTATAAAAGTATCCCGATACATAAATATAATTTATATCAATGAAATAATGTTGGATCAGTTCGCTTTTCCCCCTTGTATAACTTGTTTTTAACAATCTCATTTCCCACTGAACGAACGCCAATTTAATTTATTTTCCTTGCGGAATTACGGGGCCTATATTTTCACGACTTCTTTTTTTTTCTTAGTTTGTCTAAACATCCAAGCCTATTTTGATAAATTTAAGGTCTTAAATTCATTTCAAAGTTGATAATAAAGTGGACTTAGATCTGGGGACCTTGTTTAGAAGTAGCTTTGAAGATCGCTAAACTGCACTACATTTTTCACACTTTTTTTCAGAGAATTCAGGGATCGAAATTGGTCCGCATTCCAGTTTTTTTTCCTCCTCACATAATTTTATCGGATATAAGATCTTCTTTTGTGATATTTTTAATTTACAAAATTATCGTTTTGATTTGAGGGGGGAGGGATGTCAATAAAAGGCGCTTAATAATCATATTTGCTTGATAACCTATATATGTCGCGTTATAATTTATGATTCGGGGAAATTTTTGAAAAAAAAAAGAAGTACGTCTCGCCATAGTCCAGCATAATGAGAGTTCTTGAAAAAAATTTTTTGAGGGTCTTTATAGAGTTAATTTTTATCAAATTTTCAGTATTTTTTTTAGGTCTCAATTTTCTTAAAAAAAATGCAATTTTAAATTCTTAAAAATTTTGAGGATATTAAATTTAATATACTTTTAATAATTAAATATGAAATATCATTTAAAAAAATAAACATTTCCAAGCGCGACGTTTTTTAAGCTATCCGATATATAGAAAATGGGAGGTGGGGAAGAAAAATATAGAAAGAGAGAAAAGGAAGCAAAGAAAGGTATGTCTATAAATCCAGACTATTTTATCGTTAAAGTTTCCAGGATGTTTTTTTTACCGAGTCTAACCTTATTTGCATATAACATTTTGCTTTACTCATAAGTTTTTTAAAATCGAGATTTCATATTAACTATTACATTTTGCTTAAAACAATAAAATTGCAAACTTTCCTTAGCTACAAAAAATATATTATTATTTCGAATGTTACTATAACTATAACTCCTCTCGTAAAGTGTGAACATTTAAAAAAAATATTATATAGTTACACCCTGTCGAGCTAGCCCGTCAGTTAACTCTATACGAATTTGAGCTCTACAAGGCCATAAAGCCTTCCGAATTGATCGGAACGGCATGGATCAAGCGGGATAAGCATTACACTTCGCCTAACCTCCTTAAAATGACACAGCATTCTACTAAAGTATATTTTTATAAGTAGCGGATTAAAAAAAATAATGGAAAAACGCGTTACTTTTTTTTAGAATATAATTTTATTTAATTTTTTTAGCTCGCTTCGCATACGCCCTTAAATATTTGTTGTATTTTCATAAATATTTAGAGTATAATATATAATTAAATTAAGGTTAACAAGTTGGAATTAATATATCAAACGAGGCAACGTTTTATAATAATTGCCAACATATCCATTCATTTTTTTTTACTTATTTCCTGTAAACTGTGTGAAATGGAAATATTTTTGTTTTTAAAGGCGCTTAAGAATAGTAATGGTATCTTTGTTCAATTTCAAATACGAATTGAATTTAAATGGATTAGTAATTCCTCAATCATGTTTTTGAATGAGGTAAGGTGATAAATTTGTAATTAGGCCTAAAACGAATTATTTGTTATTCGAAATTCGATTCGATTCGTATTTTACGAATACGAATAGCACAATTTCGAATCGAATATAAATAATGAGGAAAATTATTCGTATTATTCGAAATTATTTATATATAAATATTCGTAATTTTTCGCAAATATTTTATTTGTAGTTGTAAATTATTGTAAGTATAATAAAAAAGAAGTAATTAAATTTTCCTAGTGGATATCATTTTATTTTATTTCCTATTATCTTTATCAAATCCATAACTTATATTAATTGCTGTCAAATTTTAATGGAAGAAAAGGAAAAGCCCCAAACCCAAAGTAAACAAAAATATAATTATTTTATTTTGATACTTTCTCTTTATTTAATCATTTTTGGTGTTAAGATTCCTGGCTAAGCCACTGCTTTCAAAATATTATTGTTAGTGATTATGGCAATGTAATAAATAGTGATGAAGATTTTATGATAGTGATTATGATAGAATTAGATGATTTACTTTAAAATTTGATAAAAAATAAGGTTACTAAATGGGAAAAGAATTTTCCTAATCAAAGAATAAGAACTAGTCAAGAAAATTTAGTTATTTGCCAGAAACTTAAGAATGTGAGAAAGATTGTTTTGGCTTGTTCTTTTTAAATATATTCTTAAATTTATGCAAATACTATTTTTAATCAAAGTACAACAAATACAATGAATTATTTATATTTTGAAAATATTTTTATATTTTTTTTTAATACCAATATTTGCATAAGAATTATTTAAATTTTATATAATTTTTTATACAATAAAATTTTTATTGCATAAATTTAAGAATATATTTAAAAAGAACAAGCCAAAACAATCTTTCCCATATTCTTAAGTTCCTTGGCAAATAAATTACTAATTTTCTTGACTAATTCTTATTCTTTGATTAGGAAAATTCTTTTCCCATTCAGTGACCTTATTTTTTATCAAATTTTAAAGAAAATCATCTAATTCAGATAGTGTATCATAATAACTATCATAAAATCTTCATCACTATTAATTACATTGTGATAATCACTTCTAATAAAATGATATTACATGTATAATATATGTACTACAAATTTAACAATAATATTTTGAAGTTTTATTTGCAGTGCCAGGATTTTCTCTCCCAACTCTCACATTTTTTATGAACACTCAATTACGCTATGTTAAATTTATTTTAAATATTTGCATATAAGAATAAGATATAACAAAATTTTAGAAAGTATTTCATCATTATAGATTTTATTTATTATATTAAAATACTTTAATAGCATAAATTTCCTTTATTTAATCATAAATTTTTTTTAATTATTTAAAATAAATATTAAAATGTAAATATTTTATATAGATTATAATTTTAAAAATTTTATTGTATAAAAAATTATATAAAATTTGAATAATTCTTATGCAAATACTGGTATTTTAAAAAAATATGAAAATATTTTAAAAATATAAATAATACATTGTATTTGTACTTTGATTAAAAATATGCATAAATTTTAAGAATATATAATCACTTCTAATAAAATGATATTACATGTATAATTTATATACTACAAAATTAACAATAATATTTTGAAGTTTTAATTGCAGTGGCTTAGCCAGGATTTTCTCTTTCAACTCTCCCATTTTTTATGAACACTCAATTGCTTACATCTTAGGCTATGTTAAATTTATTTTAAATATTTGCATAAAAGAATAAGATATAACAAAATTTTAGAAAGTATTTCATTATAAATTTTATTTATTATATTAAAATACTTTAGTAGCATAAATTTCCTTTATTTAATCACAAATTTATTTTTATTATTTAAAACAAATTTTAAAATGTAAATATTTTTATAATTTTAAAAATTTTATTGTATAAAAAATTATATAAAATTTAAATAATTCTTATGCAAATACTGGTATTTAAAAAAAATATGAAAATATTTTCAAAATATAAATAAAACATTGTATTTTTACTTTGATTAAAAATAGTATTCGCATAAATTTTAAGAATATATTTAAAAGAAACTAATATAATATTTTTTTTGATTTGAAAAGATAGGTTTAATTTTTAATTCATAAGAGGAATAAAAATATAAATTAAAATATTTTTATTTTTAAAAAACAGCCTCCCCCATGCTAATGCCACTGTTTAATTAATTTACTGTTTCTTAATTTTTAAATATTTTTTCTTTCAGCTCCTAATGTATCAATGATCTGGTATTTCAGGAAAGATGGTAAGCATGTATTTTATATGATATATATAATTTTAAATATATTCAAAGATCAATTAGAAAATCTTGATGGAAGAAGTTATGGTGAAGGACATAGTCAATCCTTGAATAGTTCTAGATCTACTTCAATATCTGATCAGATGTTAATGTTAGGCGGAAAAATTCTTTAATATAGAACCATTATCTGCATGATTCTAAAACGGTGACAGCTAAATGTAAGATATGCAATGTAGAAATAATGTGCAAGAAAAAAACTACCTCGGTACTAATTAATAATAATAAAAGATTTCATCAAATAATTCAAAATAATAATACGATAAAAAACAATTTAAATAATGTGTCCAAAACAAATGCTGATGATATTAAGCATCATTTATTAAAATTTTTATTCAAGTCAAATATACCATTTAAAATTCTCGCCACACAGGAATTCAAGTCATTGGTTAGAGCTTTGAATCCTGACATAAAAATATGTTCAATACCCTCAATTAAACAATATATGAATGAGATTTATGATCAAGAATTCAATAAAGTTAAAATAATTATAAATAATTTAAAGTGCCAAATTAACTTTACCACTGACATATGGTCAAGCCCCACTAATGTACCATTTTTAGGGTTGACCTGCCACTTTATTGATGAAAAATAGGAAATGAAATCATTATTATTATATATAGTTTTATTCACAGATTCACATTCTGGTGAAAATATATATAGAGTTTTCTCAAATTATAAAAAATTATAATATCGACATATGTAACATAGCTACTTGTGATAATGCTAGCTCTAATTCGACTTTCATAAAAATTCTTCGTGTAAAAAATCCAAATTGTAAAATTTTACATGTACGATGTTTTGCACACGTACTTAATTTAGTTGTACAAGAAATACTTAAAAAAATAGACATGCAATTATCCAAATTAAGAATAATCATAAAGATTATTCGCAATTCGTTTACAAAGACAAGAATCATGCAAAATGTATGCTCCTCGCTAATTCCCCCTATAAAATATTTAAAATTAAATTTAGACACTTCCATTAGATGGAACAGTTCTTATTTAATGATCGAAAGAGCGATTAAAATGAGAAGGGTTATTGATGAGGTTGTAACTCAGATATATGATGATATATCTGATATCGAAGAACGGAAACTGAGCGAAGTAATTTAATTTTATTTACTAATTATTTTTTATCAGGATGATTGGACTACCTTAATCAACATACAAAACAATTTAAAAACCTTTTTTGATTTTACCAATGATATATGTGGTGACACATATCTTACCTTAAATCTAGTCATCCCTTTTTATGTTTCCTTAATAGAACATTTAACCCTATAAATGCTATTGATAAAATAGGAAATTATTATAATCTTACAAATATTGAAACAATAATATCAACCATATTGGCAAGATTAAAAGTCCAATTTTTTGAACAATTACCTTCGTCGTATAATATAAATACGACAAATCTATTAAAAAAAATTAAGGATGTATATAATTAATACAAAATGAAATACAATATCAATACTACATCATCGATTCGATTCGAAAATTTTTATAAAGCTTATAAAAAATATATATTTTTTTTGCAAAAAAATTATAAACAGATATAATGTTTTAAGATGACATTTTTAAGGATTCTCTATACAACAATTTACACAAAATAAACGAAATAAAACCAAATGATTTCATATAACGTTATCCAAACAAATTGGCCAAAAACGTCCGATTTATAGATTAGAATTGCTTATAAAAAATATTTAAATTATTTCTTCAATCTAATATACAAATTTTATTAAAGTATTCTGAAAATATACAATATTTTTATTTTATAAACATCAAAATATAATACACAAAAAATTTAATTATAGAATATCTGAATTTGTTAATATCCAATTTTTTATACATAACGTCTTTTTATAGTATCCTCTTTCAGAGACATCCTATTTTTCATTATCATATTCGTTCCCATTTAAAACAACCGCTCACATGAAGCCGATGATCCCTGAATTGACAAGATATCACTTGCCATTTTCGACAACACGGGAAAATCCCCATGCAATCTCCACCATTCTAACGGGCTCTTATTAGATTCGATTCTTACTTCACTAAGATATGTCTCCACTTCACATATTGATGTGATGTTATTTTGTTTGAATATTCTATCCATGTTTGACTGTACTGTTGCACTAACTGATGTAGTATTGATATTGTATTTCATTTTGTATTGATTATATACACCCTTAATTTTTTTTTAATAGATTTGTCGTATCTATATTATACGACGAAGGTAATTGTTCAAAAAATTGGACTTTTAATCTTGGATCCAATATGGTTAATATTATTGTTTCAATATTTGTAA